CATTTTCCCAATGTTATGTCAAGTTTTAAACCTCAAAACCCAAATTGCTGGAGATAATAACACTACTAAAGCACCAAAGGATAGTATGCACACAATAGCAAGAATGGATCAGTGCTTAAAGTCTAGCATCAAAGAGTAAAAGAAAAAGTTCATTGGATTTACCGTCTTATACAAATATCAAACAACTTCCTTCAAGGCTACAAATATTAAACTTTTCTCCGGAGCTACAAACCAAAAAAAGGAGAAAACATTAATGTTAGGCATAGCATTTTCAAGAGATAAAAAGCTAAAATCTTTGTCACCGGATTATGCAGTACAATATATTTTGTTCATTCAATGAAAGAAATCCTAGAATATGGATACCGTATTCTGCATGCAAGTCTTTAGTGCAAGAAATTCTTTCAAACACATATCACGTTCAACTTCTGGAACTTTAGCTGCAACACAGGCCCCATATTCTTTCGCCTGCAAAGACGACTTTTTTGTGGAAACAATGAGCAAAGCGCAAGCAGAATTAACAGCAGGTTCAAGAAAATGCCTTTCTGAAATCACATTTTTGTTTATTTATTTTCAACCTAAATTACTTACATAAATTTAAAACATAATTCTAATAAGATAGGTCCAAAATTTCAATTGAATAGTACTAAATCACAGAGAAAAACTAGGATCGCCTAACCTGTGCCGTACAATTCACTAAAATGCGCCTAAGTGGAGAGATAGCGTTCTTTTCTTTCATATCCACAGCTCTGAAAAGGGGAAAGGATTAAAAAAGTGAATATAAAATATCATAATTCTCAAAAAATTGAATTAACGATGGAGTTAGAATTGTACACGAATTAATGAAATTAGGGTTTTCAATTAAATTGATAAAAAAATTAGAAAAAAAAATCAAATCCAAATGGCTAGTGAGCAGAATCGAAGAGAGAAAAGAGAAAATACCTGAGCAATTCAACATCTATCTTTTTTTTGTGAGATTCACTCAGGGAATAAAATTCTAGTGCTCTCGTTTTTTGTTCTTTTTTTTTTTTTTTCTTTCCTGCTATCGATCGAAACTAAAGAATTGTTTTTTTAATAGTTGCAGCGAGTTACGAGTACAACTAACGGTCTTTGTATGACGAATTAAGGAAGGTAAAAGGACTCGTCTCGCTAGAACAGTAGAACGTTAACCATGCTTGGAGGCGCGATACCAGCGGCTATGATGAAGTGAGAACAAAAAATGAATAAAAAAAATAGGGCTACGGTGATCGTGATTAGTGACCATCCGCCAATGCAATGTGCTTACCGTCTACGATTCCCCCCGCTTATGTGTTAGGCTTTGAGAAATAAATCCCTGCCACGTAATGTAATACAAAGTGGGACCGGTTTTCAGAAACTCAATTGAACGTATCTAAAACCATTTAAAATTAGCACTGATCGGGTCATGAATATGCGCGGGTTTCGGATCTAAAATGCGGGTCGTGTTAGTGTAAGGTTAAAAAAATATAATATAGTTAAATAAAATGACATTTAAAAAATTTATACTTTATGATGAAGCATGTGAAGTTACCGTGAGAGAAATTTTAGAAGAGTTTTAAAAAACCCTTTTTTTTTTTAAAGATCCTTGAGGAACAATTGAGCAACAAAAACAGGCCAGCAATGGTTGATCAACGCTTGACCCATTGGAAGCTCTTCCTTGCTTTTGCCTTCCCTGGTTTTTTCCTTTCCACCAGGCGTGGATCCCTTGGGAAAGAAGAAGAAGCAAGGATTTTCTTTTTTGCTTTGGGCAGGGGTTTAGAATTTGGGGAGATTTTTGAGCCGACCCGGTTCAATTCAAATGTCCATGGGCCAATAACAAAGCCCAAAGATTAAATTTTTGTTTATTTTCAAAAGGTTTTTCTAAATTTACATTTTTCTTAGTAAAAACGTTTTTAAGAGACAAAACAATAAATAATTAAAAATATTTTCTACAAATAATAACTAATTGAAACTTGAATACCTTAATTTGTGAAATATTTTTAAAGTTTAGTAAAGGGTTGTAAATTTCAAAAATAAAATCTTAAATTTTCAAAAATACAATTATGCCTAAATAAGATCATGACCTAATTATAATATCAAAATATTTATATGATGAAAGAGGATTATTTTTTATTATCGGTTTACGAAAAATTCAATTATTACGTATTTAAAAATTACTTATTAAATAATACAATTTTTTTTCCCTAAAGCAAGATGAACACACCAATTTTGTTTTAGGTATTGAGTTAAGAATCAAAATTGATTAAAGATTTAAGTGATTAATTTACAATTTTTTAAGTTTAACATTACCTCTTTGGAGTAGTTAATGAGCTAAGGGGCTGCTAAATTAAATAATTAATCATAATCTGATAGGCCTTACGGACTTTTCTTGGGCCGCAATTTCCTTCCAAGGAACTCGTTGCCAGTCCAGCTTGTTCATGCTGGCAATGATGTATATGATCAATGCTTTCAATTTAAATATCAGAAAAAAAAAAGGATTTATTAATTCAATTGTGTGACTTATAATAAATACATATATAAATGCATCAACTTTTGCCTTCAATTCCTATTATATGATTAATAAATGTGTTACTTTAATTTTTATTAATAACATTAACTTCTTTCATGGCAGCTTTTTTTTTTCTTTGGAGTAAAATAAAAAAATATTTGTTTATGGACTGAAGATTTGATTCAACTCACGCCAAATCCAACTTAATTTAGGATATTAAAATTATTAATAAAATTTAATGTTAATTTAAAATATTAATTATTGATATTTTAATAGTTTTTAATATTTTAAAATTTTGATAAGATTTAATTTGACTTGATTTAATCCATAAATATTAATCTATAACCTAATAATAATTGATATATATATATATATATATATATATATATGGAATGATGGAATTTTCTCAACTAGAATCCATCAATATCAAAGGGAGGAAAGGGACCCTCCGCCATTTAGCCTTTTCCCCCTTTTGACTTGTGATGGAAGTGGTTCCCTTTCGGTGGATCGTTGTCAAGCCCAACTTGCAAGTTTTTAACTGAGAAACTCAAATCAACGATGGTATGGTCTCATTTATCAACAAAATGGAAACATCCATGCCTTAATCTAAACTAGAGAGAACCAAAAAAATGACAACACTCTCAACGAACAAACAACATGTGCATGAGAAATTTTTTTAGGTTCTTTGTTAATTCATCTCTCTCCCATGTTGATTCTTTATCCATTTATTGAGATTTAACCTTTAAAACATTAATTATTTATTTATCATTAAATCAAATGCAGATGATTATTTAATCTCTTTAATCTAAAAGCATATTGATAAAAAAAAAAAAAAGATTGAAAATAATAAAAATAAAATGTTTTGGAAAAACAACTCAATGAGTGAATAGTTATTTTAATTGTTTCATTTAAAAAATATAAATATAAATATAAATATTTTATTTTATTATCATTTTTATCTATTTTTTTAATTAAGTTGATGTTATTTGATCAGTAATATCAAAATTTTTTGCCAATATAATATCAAATTCAATCATACTCATGATAAATAGTATAAATATTAAATTGTGTATCATTAAAAAATAATATCTAAAATTGTGGAAAAAGATAGGATGCCCTTAATAGCATGAAAACTAATTTGAAACCAAAATCAGCACCGTTAATATGGTTGATATTCACACCCTCTTTTTTTTTTTTTAATTATTGAGGGAAAAAAAAAAGAACAAACTTTTGAGATCCCTAGCTTGCAAAATCTTCAAACTTCCTATTATTTCGCAGACAATAATAGGTAAATAAATTAATAATATAATTAAGCAAAAGGTGATGGGGTCCATCGTATTTGTACGTTAGCAGAAATCCATCCCATACTGAAAGGACATACGTGGCAGTTTTTTACTGGGCTTTTACGGGTGGAATATGACTATGTGTTATGTGATTAAACTTTTTTTTTCTCGATTTCTGCCCAAATATGACCCCAACGGTTCGTGCACGTTAATCTACTGCAACCTGTCCACAGCTGAGGACATTTTTGTCAATAAAAAATTTTCATGTGTGATAAATAAAAATGGACAATTCTTTTTGAAATTATAAAAATAAAAAATTTATGTCGTCATTATTTCATATTTCATCATGTTTATATATAGTAATAATTTTGTTTATATCCTTCGGTATTATAAATGATAAGCTAAATTTCATATATATACTAAATATTATAATTATTTATTGTATTTTTTTTATGTTCAAGTGGAATTTGATTTTATACTTTTTAAATGAAAACGAGCAAATTGTGTAATTTTATTATTTTTTATAAAAAAAACATAATATAAAATATAAAATTTATACTTATTAAATATCATTTATAATTATATAAAATAATTAAGTTGATTTTCGAATTTAATGTATTACTATTATTTTTTTTCTTTCCTATGCTAAACTGGCAAAATAAATATAAGTAAAATCTAATTCACAAAATGTAACCCTTTTTAACCATCTAATTAATTGAAATAAAAAAATTAAAACTGTAAAATAAGTCAAAACTTATTTCCATTCCATTGTATAATTAATTATTCACCTAAAAACAACAAATATATTACGAATTGATTTTATTTGAAAAATAACTTTCTACTTTCCTCTAAACTTTTTTTTTTTTTTGGTATTGTTAAACTAATATTGAAACACCTTATATTTTCAGGCCAAAAATATTTCTCACAAACAATAAAAACATATTATTATTTACCTGAGATAGTTAAAAATTGTAAAGTAAGAGTCTGTTTCCATTTTAACCGTCTTCCCCTTTTTCCCAATGGCCAAACAAAGCGGCCTCAAATCCTTTCTCACTGATTTTCTCTTACAAATATTTATAGATATAAATAAAGAAATGCAGCAACAAATCTGATCATCGTCATCAACCTCCCAAAACCCATCCCATTCAATTTTGTTGCCTTCTCGCTTCGATCTCTTTCTCAAATTCAATCCGATTTGGATCCCCAAAGGAAAAAAACCCCAATCATCATTTTCAGGATCTTTGAATTTTATTTTGTTTTGTATTTTTTTGTCAAATCCGGTTCGATTTTATTGAATCTTTTTTTTTTTGGATCGGTGAAACAAAACGGAATTGAGGGGTGGGGGATGTAAATCAAAGAGAGTTTGAGAAATCAAAGGATGCCAGAATTAGCGCAAAGAAATGAGCAATATAGTAATGCCTCAATTGGGTTTTAGTCTAAGCATAGCGATGATGTTAGCTACAATCAACTCCAGCAGGTATTTGATTTTCGTTTTCTTCACTTTATTATTATTTTTTCTGGTTGAAATTTTTGGTGATATAATTGTTTTTATTGAATTGGGATTGGATTGGGTTTTTTGTTTATTTTAATGGGTACTTTGAGTTTGGATTGGATCTTAATTTATTTTTATTTTAATTTTTTTAATTGTTTACCAGATCCAGTTAGAGAATTATAATTTTGATTATGTGCCTATTTTGGTCCTAGTATTGATTTGTTGTTTAATGACATCTGCCTTTCGCTTACAGACGTTACACATTTGTTGCCAAATTTTGTTTAGAGACAAGGCACTGATATTTTAGTGCTATTCGTGGCTTTGAATTGAGTAAAGAAATAAAGTTTCGAAGTTTGTTAATTAACTTCGTCACCGTCGGTTCTTAAAGAATTTCTTTACTCATTGTTGAGTTCAATGTGGCATTCCGTCGAGGTCTAAGGTCTTTTTATTTTTTGGCTATCAAAAGTGTTGGAGGTGATTGAGGAATTGGGAATTCGAGGAATGATGCTTGTTTGCAATTAGCTAATAAGGATAGCTGTATCCAATGGGGCGCCTAAGTGGTTAGAATGTGAAACTCCAATATTGAGATTGTAGGTTCAAGTCCTTCGGATGAGAGGAGGCAGGGTCTATGGTATGGGTGAGAGCTACCTAACCATTGTGTAGCCCAAGACCTAGTGGGTCTCCACACTCTGTTCTTCACTCTCCATATGTACCAAAAAAGAGGGATAGTGTTGATTGTGCAATTTAATAATGGATATGTTTTATAAATACATGGTTTATTGATTTTATTTCTGATTAGTTGCTAAGAAAGAGCTGTGTTTTTGCGTTGCAGTTCTGGAGTGAGCTTTCATTCCAAGCTTGGCAGGGTCTTCTTAGAATTGATAAACAAACCCTCCTTGAGCAAGCTCGCAAGAACATGTACTGCTCCAGATGTTATGGGCTACTGCTTGAAGGTTTTTTGCAGATTGTCATGTATGGAAAATCCTTGCAGCAGGAGATGGTAGCTGGTAGCCTTCATTACAACAGGTTAGGAGTTTCAAAAAACCAGAGTGATGGTGGATTGAGTATGATGAATGGGTCACAAGATGAAA